GGCCACTGTCCCGACGGAAGGAAATATAAATTGGTACGCGGATGAGGACCCAGTCCTGGCGTACGTCCATGAGATGACAGACAATATCGACTGGAAAAAGTATGTTGAAAATCTTAAGGAAACCTTCGATTATGAATATGTGAATCATGCCTACAATGACGACAGCAATGACTCCAGTGATGGTAAGGATGATGACGGGAATGATAGCGACAGCAATGACAGTGATAGCAACTCAGGAAAAGGTGATGACGACAATGATGATGATGATGACGATGTGAGTTTAAAGGAAGTGGGTTATTCCGATGGGGAAGAACAAGATCACGTTAGAGAGAGCCAGCCGAGGCCGGAATGGCTCATTCAGTTGCGGCGAATTACGTCTGATTCGCTTACATGTGGTTTTGCATTTTCTGACGCGGAGGGAAGACTGTGCGTCGCGGCCGCAGGTAAGCTGTTGCCGTTGCGGGTGTATTATTATGACGGAGCAAGGCTTGAGTTAAGGTTCTACACGTTGCACACGGGCCGTATGGTGAAGAGGGCAAGACCGCCAAAAATCATGTGTTCTGGGCACCTGGATCACATGGGCGGCATGGATGCTTTGTACGCGGTTGACCAAAAGGGAAAGGTGCGTGTATACTTAATGGTAGAACTTGCCCGACAGGCTGAGGAAACCGAGCGAAGTAGAGGTCCCATTGTCACGTTCCAAGGCACTAACAATGGAACGTGTCCTAATATTTTTCGAGTGCTGTCAGATAGGTTTCATGAGGATGTTTTGGGCCTCAATCAGGAACATGGCGAAGACAGTGATGATGGCGAAGACAGTGACCAAGACGCTGACGACAGCGACGAGGAGACGCAGGACAGTGATGAGAACGGTGATGGTCCCGGTTCGAAATCAGGCACTGTCGTTGAAGGGACCTCTGAGTATGAGCTGCGACCGGAGGACACGAACGATGATATTGGGTTCGTGGTGGCCGAGGAAGGGGATGTTCTTCTGACGGAGAAGGAAGACCGTTATTTGAGCGGTGGAGACAACCACGCCTGGTTCTTTGCCGTAGGTGACGCCAAAGGTGGTTGTTTTGTGCTTAGGCTGGACATGTACCCGGGCACTGCCGAGTATGACGAACGTGTTCGTCGGTTCCAGACTGAACGCGTTAAGGAGCTGTACGAACGAACGAAACGCGCCCGACGAATGAAGATCCACGTTGACTACGTCATCGGCCAATTAATCGACACATCGCCCTTGGACCGAGGAGACCAGGAGAAACATGACAAATTTCGAGCATCATTAAAGATACAAGTAACAGATACCTTCAAACTCATCCCCGGTGCAATCTCCAGCATGGAGTATGATGATGGGAAGATGGTATTGGCGGGTCTCGACAGGAGATTATATATACACAAAAAAACTGGAGCCACTTGGTTTAGGACACACAAGATCAATCTCAAAGGCAAATTGACCTCGGTCGTTACGTCCGTCTAGTCTAGTTACGTCCGTCTAGTCTAGTTACCTACCTACCTACCTACCTATTCCATACAAATGGCGGTATGCCGCCATACAAATGGCGGTATGCCGCCATACAAATGGCGGTATGCCATACAAATGGCGGTGTGTCTTGGCTTGGTCCATTGTTTTTTGGCTAGCTATCTAAGGCATTGAATAAGTTTAATTCTCGTTGTATTAGGTCTTGTAAATTCTTGTCTAATAACGCTTGCTGGAATAAAGATTGTAATTTGAGTGCTGCTTTATGGACATTGGAATGTGCGGGATTATATTTATAACAATTGGACCAGACCAGATCCATGTCTATAAGGAAGTCGTTAATTTTCTTGTATTTTAATTCCTTGAGATTTTTTTTGATGAGTGTGAGATCTCGTGGTTCCTTTATAACAACATAATAATCAGGGCAGTGTAGAGCCTTTGTATCGACGGGTTTGTTGAACCAGATGGCATCTTTATAATTGGCGAGTATGTTGACTATGTCCAGACACGTTTGGGACCACTCGATGCGGAAGCCATCAAGTGGTTCGTAGACGGAGGAGTGAACTTGGGACCAGGCAGAGAGGTCGGGGTATTCAGCTTCGAATTCCTCTATTAGATCTGCGGTGGGGAAGATCCACTCAGCCTGATGCGCGGACACGGGGAGTCTGTACTGGAGCAGTGCTTTATGTCGCGGTTCAGGCTCCGCCCCCGCCTTGGTGCCGGTGCCTTGTGCGGGGGAGGAACTGGCCTCGTCGCACCGGGCCTTCAGCAGGGCACAGACCACCGTGTGCCCCTTACGGCTGGCGTAAGTATGCGCAGTAGTACGCTTCCAATCACGGATCCGCGGGTCTGCACCCAGTTCCAACAGCACCTCGCACGCGTCTAGTTGCCCCTCGCGTGCAGCATAAAACAGTGCACTCTGTCCCACCCGGTCCGTCACGTTTACTAAGCTCGCTTTATATTGCGTCAGCGACTGCGTCTCCAACGCACGTAAGGTCTCCACCTGACCTTCGCGCGCGGCGTAAAACAAAGCAGTCTGTCCCGCCGTGTCCCGCAAACCCGGGTCACATCCACCCTGGGCCATCAAATATTCGCACGTCTTCACATTCCCATCACGAGCCGCAAAGAATAACGCCGTCTGTTCATTCACATCCGCTAAATTCCCTGCACACACATTCCGCTCCTCGATCAAATAACGACTCAGCGTCACCGCCTCCCCATCCGGCTTCCGCTGCGCACTGTAAAATAATAAACTCCATCCTCCCACAGGGTCCACCGCGCTCAATTGCGCGTCAGACCTACACGGAAACGTTATACCACACACCGACCGGCTATAGCACCCATTAATAGCACGCACGGAAAACACGTTATAGAACACGGAAGTAACCCGGCGGACAAACACGCTGCTTACGACGCACGCCAGACACTCAAAATCTCATCCACTCCTCTACTCTCTGATACCATCTTCGCATACTCCCCAAGTGTCTCCATTAAAATAATTTTCGCCACCAATGAGTGTGGAGGTCAATCCGGCTGTGTCAAGCACCATCATGTACTTATACACCCAGCCCAAGACACACCGCTTTACCAAACACACCCGACGCAGCCATAAAATCATCTGCAGCTGACATCCGACCACCGTGAATACCTACCGCACTGCTGCTTTGTGTCGGGTCGTGTAGTGCTCTGGGTACACAAATCGCACACGTGTGGTGCTCATGCTACTTGTTTTGTAGATCGCAGATTGAAAGCCAGAAACTCAAGGGCAACGCACTGGTAGCGAAGGGCGAATTCGGAAAAGCGCTGGAAGTGTATGAGGAGTGCTTGAGTCAAATCTGCCATTGCCCGGGAATTAAGTTGCCTCCAAGTGTGGAATACAAGAGTCCCAAAGAACTCTTGACTTCGGCCCCGAGTGAGGAAGAGGTGGTGATGCTATTTCGCAAGACGGTGCCAGCGATACTGAGTAATTCTGCATTATGCAGTATGAAGCTGGAGAACTTCGGAGATGCCATCACACAGTCGACTCAGGCGTTGGATATAAGTCAAAATAGTTTTGTAAAAGCCTTCTTCCGACGCGGCAGTGCTTATTTCATGCTGAATCAGTTTAAGCTAGCAGTAAACGACTTCAGACGAGTAACTCAGGCTCTCCCGCATGACCAGGATGCGCTGATGAGACTGAAGGAGGCTCAGAAAATGCTCCAGCAAGAACGTTTCGCAGCGGCTATCGCCGCGGACAAGCCTACTCGACCATCTGTATCGGGCCCCACTTTGGAGTGGAAGATTGACACGTCATACAAAGGGCCGACATATACGAGAAAAATGTTCGAGCCGGAAGAGGGGGAAGGGTTAAGTAGGCCGGAGGAGAAGTTGGCTTTCTTTGAGTCGGTGCTTAGTTTTATGAGAGGTCAGGGTATTCTGGATCGCGCAGTAATTAGGGACATTATACTAGACGCGACAAGTCAGAGCGAGCGTTTGCCGAACGTTGTGCCGATAAAAGTACCGGCGGAAGGGTGTGTGAAGGTGTGTGGTGACGTCCACGGCCAGTTCTATGATCTAATGACAATTTTCGAAAAGTTTGGCTTACCAAACGCAACGAATCGCTACGTGTTTAACGGTGACTTTGTCGACCGTGGTTCCTTCTCATTAGAGGTGATGCTTACATTGTATCTGGCTCGATTGATCTGGCCTACCGGAGTATATCTGACACGCGGCAACCACGAGAGCCGTGAAATGACAATGATGTACGGGTTCGAAGGCGAAATTCGTGCGAAAAGCTGCAGCAGCTTATACGACTTATTTTTAGAATCATTTGAGTATTTGCCTCTGGCCCACTTGCTGGAGAATAAGGCCTTCATTGTCCATGGTGGCTTGTCTACTCAGCCGGACGTAACCTTGGAACAGATCGGTGCGATCGAACGCGCCTACGCCCGACCACCGCCTTCACTAATGGAAGACCTCCTGTGGGCTGACCCGCAGGACCGACCCGGCTCCTCCCCGAGCCGCCGTGGTGTCTCGAAGCTCTTCGGCCCTGATGTTACCGATAACTTCCTCACCACCAACAACCTCAAACTCGTCATTCGGAGCCATGAAATGAAACTCTCGGGCTACGAAGCGACACACGGTGGCAAACTCGTCACAGTCTTCTCCGCCCCCAATTACTGCGACCAAATGGGCAACAAGGGTGCCGTCCTTTTCTTCACCCACAAGACCCTGACTCAGGAACCCATGTACGAAGTCGAGTACTTCGAAGCCACCTCGAATAAACCAGCCATTCCCGCCATGGCCTACGCCAACCGACTCGTGTCCGGTGGAATGTAGTGGCGCCTAAGGAAGGCGAAGGTCGAGCGTTCGAGGCGGTGGCTACCGCAACCACAGTCGTGACCGCCGCAGTCCATTCCTGCGCGGGATTTTTAACAATAACCGAAACACATGTTGGCAGAGCAAGGTTGCAGTGGGTACCAGAGCGCAATGTCAAGTTGTGCTTCCGTCGAGCGGAGTGAGTGCTCGCTCGTCCACTTGCGTGAGGTTCTCCGTGTTGCGGCGGTGAGTGCCGCTGCTAGGTGACGGACGGAGGGACGAGTTGCTTCGCTCAAAAGTCACTTCGGTTGGCGATTTGGAGGAGTCGGTCTGCGAAGCGGCCGCAGGCCCAGAGGCCGGTAGCGTTGCCGAGTAGGAGCCCGAGTATGCAGCATGAGGCAGCGCTGGCGCGGAGGCTGGGAGTGATCTTGGGGGGGCTTTGGCTCATGCCGACGGTGAAGAGGTAGGAGTTGGAGGCGGCGAGGATTGCCATGCAAACAACTTTGGATGCGAGGCTCTGTCCGAGGGCGGCGAGGCACCAGTAGACGAGGGGCAGACGCGTGCAACTGAGACAGACAAAGAGTGCGGATGCCATGGGCTGCGACCAGCCGCCGAGGAAGCGGCCGACGATGTCGCCGACCTGGAAGACGCCGATGAGCCAAATGACCTTGTCCCCGATGTTCCAGCGGAGCGGCGCTACGCCCGGAAAGCTGAACAATGTGACCACGAACGCCATGTAGATCCCGAACACGTAAGGCACAATCGGCAGCAGTCCCGTCCCGTCGGCAGCCATCGGTACGTAGTCACCATTAAGGGGGTTGTGTTCTCCGCTAAGGGAGTTGTGGTTTTGATGGTCTCCGTTTTGATGGTCTCCGTTTTGATGGTCTCCGGGGTAGAGGGGTTCCCTAGAGTTGGGTAGAGTGGGTGGTACGGTGGCATCTTGGAGTTTGAGTCGGAAGAAGGCCACGAAGCCGCAAGAGGGGACGACTGTGCATCCGCAGGCGACGATAAGGAGGGCGCAGGCGGCGGCGACGGGCATGGCATCTGCGGCGGGTTCCTTGAAGACGCGGTCAAAGAGAAGACCGAGGATCCAGGCGATGAGGCCGCCGAGTCCCTGGCCGAGTGAGAACCTGGGTGCACCAGCATAAGGTTCAAGGGCCGGATGGGCGAGTACGGCGAAACCACAACCCTGGATGCAAGACATACCGCAACCAATCAGCCCTAATGCCGCTATGAACAGTCCACGACTCTCACTTCCAATTATTAGACCCGTACCTGCCGCGTTACAAACCGCCCCTGCAACCAATCCCGCGAACAACACCTCCGAACTCCGCACAAATGTCAACGCCGCTGTCACCACCAACGACGCCACCTGACATGCCAACATGCCCTCATCGTTCACCGCCAAATCGCCACCAAATCGGTATCGCACGAAACTCAACATCACACACAATAACACGTTGAAGCTGAACAAACAACCTACGCCACATGCCACCAACAATCCGTCCGCCGACCCGCGCGACTCCACTTCACCCTTGCCTTTCATCCTGCACCCCAACACACTATTTTTCCCACACCCATCGCTGACAGAAAAGCGTGTGTCAGAACACGCGTGTGTCAGAACACGCGTCTCTTCCCGTTTAAGGGAGGAGGCAAAAACAGTGTTCGTCACACTCAACACCACACTCAAGGTCATGCCTGTTGACTTGTCAGGCGCCGACCAGAGGATGACGACAAGAACGCACCACGTCGAAAGTTTGCTTGGCCCGAACGTTGACAACTTTCATATCAAACTCTTCCTGCTTGGTGCGTCCTTGTAGATGCGTCGGACGGAATCCCACCACCCATCTCCCCTAGATGTATGTCCAAGAATTCGTTAAGGGTAGATGTAGTATCTTATTGACGTTTCGTTTCGTTATGGAGTGCAGCACTATTTCCGGTGAGTGAATTTGAGTTGTCAACAAGGCCAGCAGCCATCCTGTGTGTCAGCAAGACTGGAGGATAATCTCAAAAAAAGGTTGTCGGGGCGCGGGGGCTAGCACCATGAACTGAACTTTTAGTGGTATTGTTGGAAGAATAGAGCCATCGACCTGCCTTGCCTGTGTCAGCCTTCGCTTAGAAAAGTGATATTGCGGTGGTCGGTAAGGACCACGGTGGGTCTTAGCCGTATGTAAGGGTTCTACTTGGTCACAAAGTACTTGACCACCCACAACTCTCTTTCCAATTACGTGGATCTTGGGTGATCGTTGACCTGACCCAATAACACTCCTACCGCGTACTGATTGGCGTCGGTATTTAATACAAGCTCCGCATCCGGGTCGGCAGCTACCAGGTAGTCAGCATTTACGAGGTCCTCGATTACCTGTCGCATTGCTACTTCGTGGGAGTCACGCCACGTGAAGCTTTGGGTCTTTTGGCTGTTCATGAGCTCCTGCAAAGGCTGCACCTTGTCGGAGTATCCTGGCACGAACCTTCGGTGGAACGAGAGTAAACCCAAAAGCGACCTCAACTGCTTGTAGTCTTTTGGCGAAGCGACTGTGCTCAAAGCCCTCCACCTTTCCAGGCCGGGGCTTGATACCGCTACGTCAACCGATTCAGTCCTCCTTGCATTGTCTGCGCCCCCAGTCCCGCGAATGTGTGCTACCTCGTCGGTTAGCTGTATCCCGAGCTTACGTGCTGTGCTGGTGTCGATTATTGAGCGCTGCTCCCGTGTCCGGGAACACAACCATTTTGTGCCCGTTGATGCTTACCTTTAGTGCTGTAGCCTTGTGCCGGCTTAGTGATCCCGACCCCAAGTCGGTGAACTCATTACCACCAGATAGTCACTAGGCGTATCCTCCTCACACGCCGCTATGTCCGCT